AGTCATTTCCTGTGTTTGAAATGACCTTAATTGAACACTTTTATAGTTAAAATGTAATTCTAATTAAAATGAAATTTAAAGAAATACAGCCCCTAGGAATTTATCAGTGGCTTTCCTTTCATCTTTATTTATCAGTTGTTACTAATTCTTTATTAGATTGCTAGTTTATTCTAAGTATTTTGAGAGGCCCTGGTCATGTTTGTGGTAGGAGCTTGTATGTTAAACACACATATACACGTTTTTTGTTGTTTTGTTTTATACTTCTCATACTAATGAAAATTCATCAACTATTTTAATTCAAATAATGAGCCCTCTCAGCTACCAGAGACTGTATATGTATTTTCTCTTCTAATCCAGGGACATAGACTATCTTTTCTTTCTCACGTGGTTTTATTTTATTTTTTATTAAAAAATTTTTACTAGAGCACCAGAATCAACTTAGTTTTGGGGGCTTTCTTACCACTTAGAAAACAAGGATACCAGGTATATAACTGGTATTACACTTGGTATGTTCCACCAATTAAGTTGAAATTTACCCATGCAGCAAAGGTATCTCCATGGTTACTCTGCCAGCTCTTAGCCCTTTTGGCTTCAGACTGCTTTAATGTAAAATGAAAGTTCTCTAGAGTTGCTAACTTGGTAATTTTTCAGATTCTAGTTGTAGGTGCCCTTTTGTCTTACTATTTTGGAATATAACAACTGGACAACCTTTCATATATAGACTGAGATTTGGTCTCTTTCCAATCACTCTGAGATCATCTGACAGTGGTTATTGGCAAAAGTAAAGAACCAGTCCCTGAAAAGGTGACTTACTGCTGAATACTACATCCAGCCTCAGTATTAAAATGCTTTTTGCCCCACACTGGTAAATTCTTGGGTTTTAAAGTGGAAAGGAACTGTTAAAGGTCATCTACTTTACAGATGAAGAAAAACAAAGGAATTAGGGCTACTTAGCATTAAAATTTTTCGTTAGTAATTTTCATTCAGCAAACTTTTACAGTGTCCCTACCCTGTGTGGGTTCTGGAGCTATAAAGTATAAACACAGTCCCAGCACTTATGGTCTCAGAGTCCATTGGAAGAGAAAGATTGACCAATAATTATCACAACAAGTAAAACCTATAATAAAGGCACATTCAAAGCACTCTGAGGCCACACCTTTGATTATAGATAAAGAGTTAACATAATAGTTTCATTTTAAAGAATAAGTAAGTCTTTACCAGGCAGGGTAGGAAGAGAAGGCACCTTGGGCAGAGCAAACAGAGGTCAGGAAAGAGCACAGTCACTTTGGAAAATGCTTAGTGTGTTAATGTTATGGGTAAATAGGACTTCAGAGTGAGGAGTGGTGGCGAACGGCTGAGTTCCCACTGTGGGGCGGTGTTAGTGGGAACGGCTCACACACAGCTGGACATTCAGTGAGGACAAAAGGTAGGGCTCTGTGAGTTGTGCAAATATTGAAATAGTTCCAAGCTGGTTGATAAATAGCCATTGATCTGAGACCCCTCCCACTGTCCTGTTTCACCTCCCAGACCTCCTCACAGCTAGGACTTCAGCAATTAAAGAGTTGACAACCAGCTGGAGGCCTTTAGGGACCTCCCCACCACCACCCCCAGCAGTAAGGGCAGTAAGACAATGCTGGCTGTTAAGTTTTTTGAGCATCTCTCCTCCTGTTTGCCATGGTAAAGAATGTAAACTTTATCCTACAGGGTAGAACTGGAAAACTAAATGCCTCCAGGGGTCAGGCAGGCTACACAGAAATGAGTGAAGCAAGTGGGTATAAACAGCAGGAAGAGGTGAGGACTGTAGTGAATTGGAGGCATTCAAATTAATGTTTTAAAAATTCTGTGTGAACAAATATGAATTAACGTTTACTATTGCTCAAATTTTGCAGTAGAAGAAATAGGAAGCCACAGTAAGTTTTTTTTTTGTGGTTGGTTTGTTTTTAAACTAGGGGAGTTATACAAGATTTATTTTAAAAAATATTGCCATGAGGGTTTGATGGACAGAGATTTCAGAACACATGGAGACATAAGACCGAAAGCAGGGGTTGTTACTAGTTCCAAGACTGGGTAAGAAAATGCTGGCGTAGGGCTTCCCTGGTGGCGCGGTGGTTGAGAGGCCGCCTGCAGATGCAGGGGACACGGGTTTGTGCCCCGGTCCGGGAAGATCCCACATGCTGCGGAGCGGCTGGGCCCGTGAGCCATGGCCACTGAGCCTGCGCGTCCGGAGCCCGTGCTCTGCAACGGGAGAGGCCACAACAGTGAGAGGCCCGCGTACCACAAAAAAA